CAGGAGCTCCAGGAGCTCCAGCCACCATTGATGGCATCAGGACGGAAACCCACGGGCACGCACTCCCCATTGAAGCACCACTGCAAGGGGGCAGAAGAGAAAACACGGGTTTAGGATGCAGTAACTGACAGCGGCTCAGAGAGCCTGGCTGCAGCACGGAAGCCCAGCACCCGTATTGTCCCATAAGCATCCATGCTTCGCTCACACAGTACCTGGGGTCAGCTGGGGCCCGCCAGAGCCTGGCACACCTCTAAGCAACGGGCAATTCAGAGATGTTGGGCTGTTTTGAGGGTTTGTCTGAGGGAACACAGCCAAACCTCCCCTTAGACCCCTCAGCCCAGAGGGGAGAACCAGGGAGGCACAGCCACAGGCAAAGTAGAGGTTTCACAAGAAGCAGTGTCTAGGCCCGTGGTCATCCCTGGTGCTCTGGGGCCAGAGGAGGGGCACTGAACCTGACCATGACAGACATCTACAAGTATATTTGTAACCCTGTAGTGTTATGCTACCTTGTGCAGGAAAACCCTGTTCTGGAAGAGCAACGTGTGACAGCTCTGTTCCAGGGCTGCCATGGTACATTATCACCCATGCAAGGGTGACCAGAGCTGGCTGCCAACAGCTGGTCCCCTGACAGCACCCACCAAGCTGTCATGGGTGCTCCTGGACCCTCCATGCCCCAGATTTGGGAGAGGTGCTTCCCCTCTAGGCATGCAAATCCTGGAGATGAGCACCCACCACCGCAGCAAATGGAGAGCAGGACAAGCCTTGTACTCTCCTGCTATTGTAATCAACTGCGGGTTCCACCTTCTCGAGGCATTTTCAGCTTCCCTGGAGGCAGTCTCTCCCCAGGAGCAGTGAGGTTTGGGCAGAGCAAGGGCAGTGAGCTGAGCCCATCCCTGTGTGCAGGACCAGGGGTCTCTTGCTCCCCATTACCTTGTTCTCCCCACATGCCGTGCCATCAACAGCAGCATCCAGCTTGGAGTGGCACGTGTTCCCCACCGTGCACCACAGCGTGTTGCAGACGCTCTGCAGGAAAACACAGTTGTGCAGGACACAGTCACTGCACCAGCCACCCCATTGGCATCAAATTAACTTGCAGGGAGAGGACACGGAGCCCCCCAGCCCCAGAGAGCCCCTCAGAGCTGCATCACCCCCTGTTATGTCAAGGGGGACCCACTGCTTACGTCCATGTCGTCGCAGAAGGTGGAGTAGGCGCCGTACTGCAACCGGCACTGGTGGCCCACGTCGTAGAGGACACCCGGGGGTACCAAAGGGTAGTCCAGGACCTCATGGGCTGGGGGGTCATCCAGGCACAGCCCCCAGCCCCGGCTGAAAGAGAGAGGTGAGAGCAGCATCACCACCAGCCCCACACAGTGCTCCAGCAGTGGCTAATGGAGGAACCAAACATCTCATTAATGTCCTACCACGATGAGGAGCAATGAGTATTTCTGCTGATATGCCCCTGGCTCCCCAGTCAACCCCAGAGCTGCTCCAGCACACGATGGGCATGTGGGGTACCTGCTCCCAGAGTGATCACCCCACAGCCCCTGGGGACAGAGGGTTATGGTGAAGGCAAAGGGGCAAAGGCAGCAGCAGCAGCCCCTGCAGCTGCCAGGCCAGTGCCTCGCACACTCCCTTTTTCCCCCTGAGATGCCCCTGTGCCCCTGACAGAAATCCAGAGATATCATTTTCCCTGGGAATAACCCCTGGATTTTTGCTCTGTGAACAGGCCCTCAGCCAGGACCCCGCTTTCACCATTCAAGGGGAAAGGTTTTGCTGAACAAACATGTCACTGCTCAGAAACAGATGCTGTCCCCACATTCATACATCACCCTGACCCCAGAAACATCCCCACGGACACCTCAACCCACGTGTCAGTGTCCTGCTGATAGAAATGAAGTTGATTGCCAGCAGAAAAACGCACTCACCCTCCTATCTGCTGCTACAAACCGTGCTCAAACTGTGCTGGACAGGACAGCAGAGACATACTAAGCGGAGGCAGTGAGGTTGCTGGTGCCAGCCAGCCAGGCTGCGGAGCCGCAGGGACAGCCCTGGATGCGGCCCTCTGCTCCAAGTGCTTTTGCTACGATACTTCACAAACACACAAGGAACTGTCACTAGTTTAACTTTCAGTGTTGATTTAAACAAACTTGTTTCCAGCAAGGCAGAGTCTCTGGCGAGGGTTTCTCAGATTAGGTTACTTGGGCTTGTTGTGATTGGGAACAGGTTTAAATGAACGTGAAACGAGATTCTTTTTTAACCCAAACCAGCAACACAGAAACAAGGGTCAGCAGCACAGCAGAGCTCCTGCTTTGGGGTGCTGGCAGTGCCATGGGGTGATGCCCAGCAGAACCAGCACCCTCTCCTCCCTTCCCATCCCACCCCAGTGAAGCCCACACTGGCAAACAGCCCACTTGGCTGGAGACAGCTCCTTAAAATATCATGTATATAGTTTTAGAAGCAGCTTCCCTGTTGGAAAAATCAGTAAATCAGGGGCTCAAAAGTCTCTGTTCCAAGTCCACAACACTGGGAGCATCCTGCCTCTCCCAGGCACATTGGACGGGTTTGGAGCAACCTGCTCTAGTGGAAGTTGTCCCTGCCCCTGGCAGGGGATTGGAATTGGATGAGCTGTAAGGTCCCTTCCAAACCAAACCATTCCATGGTTCTATGACACTGGTGTTCCTCAGGACGAGCTCACCAACTGCCTGTCCAGGTACCAGCACATGGGGCAATCCACACCACCCCAAAACCCTCCTTGTCCTCTGATCTGCTTGAGTCACTTTTCTGTCTTGCCCCAGCTTATCGGACAGATCTCTGTCCCAGCATGGGGGGTGATTTAGGTTTGCTGTCAGCTCTCCAGTGCTATGTTCAAAATCTATTTCTTCATTAAATATTTTACAATCATCCTACTGGTGCCTTCAACTGGCCAAAACACATTTCTGAGCCAGCAAAAACTGGCACGAGTTTCCCTGTGGCTTGGCAGGGGTATGCAGCAAACCACACTCTGCACTGAACCACGCAGGGTCTGCCTGCTTCAGTTGTTCATTAACGAGCTGGGTGATGGAGTGGATGGCAGGATGATTAAATCTCCATATGGGAGCAGGCTGGGAGGATCTGCAGCTACAGCTGAGAGCAGGATTAACATTCCAAAAGCTCTCGGAGAACTGAAGGAAGGATCCAAAAAGCCAAGACGGAATTCAATAAAAACAAAGTGGAGTTTGGGAAGAATCAGCTGCACAAACAGGGAATCTGGCAGAACTCAAAGGCAGGGGAAGACCAGTCATCCCCAGGCTCCAGGGAGCAGCTGGAAGGAGCCCATGGAAGGATGATGGAAGAAAACCACCAGCACTGTGCACAGAGGCTGAAAACCAGGTTGTCTGATCTAAAGAAAAGACTGAAGGGAGATAAGACAACCTGCAGCTGGGCCAAGGCTGCTGCTGAGATGAATTGAGGCTGCTCCGTGCCATTGCATGCCTGTGGCACAGGCAGGGCATCCATGAGACACAGGATCCCATTTCATAAGGGTATTTCACCAGCCAGGCTGGGAAAGAGCTCATGTCACTGTGAGGGTGGAGAGCAAAAACCCTCACAGCATCTTCTGACTCCTCCGAGGGTTAGAAGGAAAAACAATGGAATGCCAAAAAGGGCTCAAAGATGCTTAAAAGTGCTTGTAAAATAATAACCTTTTGTAAAATAATCATTGTCATCCGAGTGCACTTTCTGTTTCCAAATGCAAGGTCCCTTCCAAGCACATCCAGCAACCCCAGGTCAGCTGGGTCTCATTTTCTGGCTCACTCCTTCCCATTCTCCTGCCAACATCCCATTATAAGGCACTCATGTCTGTGCTGGCAATGAGCCTCGCCCTCGCCTGGGGGATGTCACAGCCGGTGGAAGACGCCTGCCAGGATCTGCTCCACTCTCAAGGAAGAGCTGCCCCTTCTGTGAGGACAGAGACCCAAACCCAAGTGGAGAAGCATCCAGCTGCTCCCTTTCTTCCCCATCACAGCCCAAGGTTATCTCAAGCAGGAAATTCTTAACTCCAAAGTGAAGGTTAAAAGCAGAAGGCCAAGAACACTGTGGATATGAGAAAGCTCCCTTCCACCAAGAGCCACAAATCAAAAATCATTCCCCCTGCATGGAGCCAGGCCCATGTGTTCCAGGATGGGATTTGGAAATGGAACTTGGCCCCTGGCAGCCTCCCCATGGTCCCTCGCCCAGCTCTGCCCATCACTGTTTCTTGCTGATGCTCTCACTGTTTTCTACTTTCCTGCAGCAAGGAAGGAAAATGATTCCCCAGTGCAAGCCACTGGCTGAGAAACATAAACCTCTGGGCTCTGTTCCTAGGAACTTAATAACAACAGGCTGAAAACTCAGCCACGGGGTGCTAAAAATAAACAAATGCACAGAAGAATTTGGCTCAGTCTCATTTCTTCACGTGATGCCTCCTGCCTCCATGCAAACATCAGCTTCTGAGCACTGAAGAAAACTGCACACAGCATCGAAGAAAACCTCTGGCTTTATTTGTTCAAGCCCCAAGCCCTGTGCCACTGCCCAAACACTTGTGCTGCTGCTGTGTTCAAACCCCATCCTTCACAGCAAGGGCTGAGGCAACCAAGGGAGACAAAAGCATCCCCTGGCTCCTGGGTCAGTTCCCACTCACAGACCCAAGCCCTGAGCCACCCCCAGCACCCCAGGAGTGAGGAATAAGAAGAAGGGAGGACTTACTCGAGGAATCGTGTGATGTACTCCCGGCTACAGCGGGACCAGGTGAGTGGGGACGTGTCATACAGGAGCTGTGGAGACATGATGAAAGGTCTTTTCCCAACTGGCTCACAGTCATTGCTGCTTCCATCATGCTGAATCCCAAAACTGTGTAAGAGCACAGCCCCACAAAGGAGAGGTGAGCCGCACGCCACTGCAACCGCGCAGCCTCTCTGCTCCCAGCACGACACCCAACGCCGGACACCACAAACCACCCCAGCGCTGGGGGACTCGGTCACTGACATTGTCCCTGGCTGTGTGGACATCTCAGTGATAGCAGGGACACTGCTCTGAACTCTGCCCCATGCTTTGAGTTCAGCTTTCTTACTGAAAACTCAGCCAAGCAAAAAGCAATGGGAATATGGAATGGGATCAAGTTCATTAAACTGACTGGGTGTGTGTTTTTACACACAAAGATACTTGGAGCAACCTGCTCTAGTGAAAGGTGTCCCTGTCCATAGCAGTGGGTTGGAACTGGATGAGCTTTAAGGTTCCTTCCAACCCAAACCACTCTTTGACTCTGTGATTCCATGGTATTATTTACTATGTTCAAGTGATCTTGTCAAAATGTAATTGAAATTATGGCAAGCAAATTTCTGTTGCTGACTCTATACACAGATCCTATTTTAAAACTTCCTAATGGGCAACCCTCCTCTCCAAAACCTTCAGCATCAGCAACCCAGGATAACACAAAAATGCAATTTCTCTCTCTGCTTGCCTTGCACTGTGTGATTTTCATCAAACCTGGTGCAACCAAAAACTTAAGTCTGAAATGAAATTCCCCAGGAAGTTCTCATGGGTGCAGAAGAAGGTTTGCACCGGGGAGGAACCGCTTGGCAATCTCCCCCCAACTTCCACCCATGCCTTCTCGAGCCCTGACTGAGCGGCGCAGAGGACAGAGATCAGAGGAGAGGAGGAAGAAGCTGGTGGTACCTGTGTCCGAGCTCATGGGCCACAGTGAAGGCCAGCGGCAGCCCCGTGTCCTCGTTGATGTTGCAGCTCCTGTGGGGCTGGCACATCCCCGCCACGTGGGACAGCCCCAGGGTCTCGCAGGGTCTGTTCATCGCTGCGCAGATGTCCTTCCTTGGGTGAGCAACACACACACACAGAGCAAAGAGGGGGTTTGAGGCAGGAAGGAGCATGGGAGGCATCCCAGCCCATGAGGAAGACACACGGACATGGGCCAAACAGAAGTGAGAATGGAGACATCCAACATCTTTCCACAACGGAAAGATTTACGACCTTTCCCTTCCCCTTTACTCTCCCAGTATTCCTGGCTTATTATGAAGCCTGATTAATGGGAAGTGCTAGCCAACCTGGCTACATTATTCCAGTGTGTAAATAAAGCTGATGCTGGGAATAATGAAGCAATTACTACATTGCTTGGGGAAGCACATCCCAGGAGTGCTGTGGTCCAAGGCAGAGCAGCTCCAGCCACCCAGGAAGAACAACTCCATTGAAGTACAGGGCCTTAATTGCCTTATTTCTGCTACAAAGCAAACTCTCTAAAGAAGATAAAACTGTTGTGGGTTGTGAATCATCGCACAAACCACCAGGATACCTCCAGCAGCCAAGTCCCTGCAGCCTGAAACCATCAAACTGCTTTTCTTTAACTGTAAGGTATAGAAATTTGGCCAGAGGAATGAATTTCTGCGAGCTTCATGGGAGGTCAGGGGCCTTCTCAGAGGCTCCTCTGCCAATCCCAGCATTAGCCTCCAAAGGAAAAAGGAGAGTTAATCCCAGTGTACATCTCCTGGGAGGATCCAGCCATTCTTGGGCTTGGTGACAGGGCCATGGTGAAAACCTGGTTTGGAAACCTCCACTACCACTCAACTGGGAGCTGCCTCCAGGTTTAAACCTGAGATGGGAGACCAGTTCCAGCCACCTGGACCATGTTATCTTCAGATTTCATGTTACATATCTGATGTGCGGGTGTCCAGGGAGGGCTCAGGCACGGAGAGCAAGTTTTCAGCAGCTCCCACTGAGATGCTCCCCTGCCTGCAGATGTTTCTAGCTGCCAGAATAGCACCTACAGCATAAAATTAGCACACAGGCACAATACCTTGTGAGCAGGACTGCAACGTCGTGATGGAGTGGATGGGAATCTCCTTTGACATTGATGCTCTTCTGCCATTTGCAAAAGCTTTTCAAGGTGTTGTCTGCGTGGTGGGAGATCTTCAGATCCTCCTGCCAGTGTAAATAAAAGTCTGCTGTAATATTGCTGCTGGATCTGTTTGGGTTTTAGGATGCAGTGGGGAGGGGTCTGATCTCAGACTCAGCAAGAGCGGAATTGGGAGTAACTATCATACAGATGGGACTGCCCCACATTTATAGGTTGTAAGCTGGGTGGGAATACAGTCCCTTTCTGCTTTCTTTTCATCTGTGAGTCAGCCAAAACATTAATTTGTCTGGTAATGGGGATTAAGAAACACTGCAGGAAAATATCCCATCCTGGCTGATGGCAAAGGATGCAGCTGGGAGCCCATCTGAGTGGCATCAGGCTCCAGCTGCAGCTGGGAACACAACCAACCAGTGATTCACATCCCCCTGCTACCGGTGGCAATGCCGAGTTACCATGAATTATCAGGGGAATCAGACTTCAGAGCTCCTCTGGCCATGCCCCTGACCTTACCAGGGCTGCAGCCCACGAAGACAAGCAAGGCACAGGCACCTGCATTTGTCTTATGCAAACTCATCGAGGCAGTGAAGACAGCACAAGAGAGAGGTTCCAGGCTTTCAAGGCCAGCTCCCAGTGTATCCCAGCCTGGCTGCCAGGCTGAGGGTGAGTCAGTGCGTTTTCTTCTTACCTCTTCATCCTCCAGCAGGATGAGTCGCACTATGGCAATGTTGATGGGGTTCCCAATGCTGGCGTGGTGGAACAGACCCGCCACCTGCAACAGCAAGACCCAAAGAAATAAAGCCTGAAGGAAAGACCTTGCCCTGTGTCACTGCTGGGAAGGACAGCTGCAGGGGAGCACAGCTCGAGGGGAAGCCACTGAAGGTTGCTGACAACATCTCTGGGAATTCCCCAAAACAAGACCAGATGCATTCCTGGACTAAAGCATTTGGAGTGTGATGATATCCGTATAAAATCAATATAATCTGTGTAGCACATTGAAACTCAACCAGGAGTGCCTGGGGGAACACCTCTGCTTTCAGTAATAGAGGTGTTTAACATCTCAAAGGAAGCCTGAGTTCCCTGGGTGCCTTCATCGACCCCAGAAACCCAGGGATGTTTCTGAGGTCCTCCGCCCAATTCCACCCTCTTTTTTGGCCATCAACCAAAGCTCTCTTCTGAAATGCAAGTAAGTGCTACCACAGCAGCAGAAGAGTGAACAGACTAAACCAACTCAACACTGACTTATCTGTTTGTTTTATGGCACCAGCAAACCCTTCCAGATTCCCAATGGAGACCTCCACAATCTGGTTCTCTTTTCCTTAACTGTCCTAAGTGGCACCTTCCCAGGAATGATGTTCCTGTCTCTCCTGCTAACCAGGCTAGTGCTGGCTCTGGCTCCCTCTGTGGGCACGGCCAGCCCAGGTCCCTGTGGCTCTCTCCTTCCGCGAGGAGGTTTCCTTATCATGCAGGGGATCATGGGTGGCCCTCGTACAGGTTTCAGGGTGGTTTCAGCTTCATCCTTGTGCCCAAGGCCCCCTGCACGGAGATTCTGGCCTCGGGCTTGCTGACACCAACCCATCCTCCCGCAGCGGATGCAGCTCTGAGCAATGCAGAAAAGCCACCACACGTGGGTGGGAATGGCCTGTCTGGGGAGAGGTTTGCTGAGGTCCCACCAGGGATGAGTCCTGGCAAGCCCAGTGGCCTCTGTGTCTCATAGCCATGTCCCTGGGGACCCAGTGGCTCCACCACTGGGAGGACCAGGACTCACCATGTTCATCACAGTCAGCACGTACTTCTCGATGTTCTCGCTCCCATGGTATTCTATCATCTTGGTGTCTGCCACCACCAGTGTTTCCACCCACTTCTCCTTGCTGATGGAGCGCTGCTTTATTCTTCTCCTCCTGTGCTGCCTCTGTTCCCACCTTTCCCTTCGCTTCTCAGACCTCTCCAGGCTTTCCTGGGATTCTGAGGGATCAAAGGAGGAAAAAAGACTTTGTTTATTTGATAAAATGTTTGCAACTTTGGTAAAACACCATCAAGAGATGCCTGAGCATGTACCACTGAGAAACAACCCCCAACATTTCAGACTGCCACCCCAAAGCCATGGTTTGCAGGCAGAGACAGTTCCCCAGTGCAATAAACTCTGCACCCCAACGCTGGACTGATGCCTTGAGCCAAATCCCAAGGATCATCAGGGTCCTGGGCAAGGCCGGGGTGTTGCAGCACCGCACAGAGATCCCTTCGGCCACACGGGAACTGAACTCTGCTCCTTCCCGTGGAGAAACAACAGGAACATTCATGGGGCTGAGAAGGGAGTGGAGGAGAGCTCAGATGCTCCTCACGCACACCAGCAACTGGGAATTCTCAAGCAGAGACTTTTCCTGTGACACTGCTCCAAGATCAAGGTCAGGGTCAGCCCCAAGCTGGGTAAAGGCTTTACAAACCACATCCCACACAGTGGGAATTGCTTTTATGACTGGTTTCTATGGGCTGAGCTTTACTTTAACAATGGACTTTTACATTTTATGGACTATACTGTATGTTAGCTGTGAAAGAGAGTTTTATCCCCCCAGTCTGAAAAATCCCAACTATCTCGATAATTTGACGCATTGTTAATACCACTATGACAGATTAATCGCAACAGCTTCCTTGGAGCTGGTTCCCATTGTGTCCTTTGCTGCTAAGCTTCCAGCCAGGACGTGAAGGTACTGCAGAGAGGATGGGGCAGAGGGCTCCCAGGGTCCCAGGGAGGCATTTTCCCTTTGAGGTCCCTCTTAAACTCTTGCCCAGCTGCACACACAGCCTGGCCTCAGTATTGACAGAAGCTAAATAACACCTAACAGCCTAACACCAGCTGCCTGCGTGGTGTTTTGCAAAGAAACCGAGCAATCCATCACACAAAACAAAAGGTTTGCAGTAATTAAAGTCCTGCAGACTTCTGGTTTCCTTCCCAGGGCACACTTCACATCCACTCTGCTAGCCCAGATTGCAATAGGGATCCACATGGGCTCTATTACACCCAGGGAAATTCATCTGCCGCGAATAGACTTCAAAGTCTAGAAGGAGCCATTACGATTGTTACCATAACTAAATAATAAACTTAGATTAACAGAAGAATGCCTGAAAATAACCTGATTATAGGAAAAAAACCCCAAACAAAACACGAAAAACCCCAGTTTTTGAAAGCAGAGAGCTCCAAGGAATGTGCAAACCAAAATGCACTGTGTGAAGACGCAGCTCCACTGATGCAGATGAGGAGTAAAGTGCCCGTGAGCTGCTGGGGATGCACTGAATTCCTCAGTACTTGAAATCTTGGCTTTGGGAGTTTCTCCAACCCATCTGCGCTAGACAGAGGAGCAGGAGCGAGCAGGAACCCTCTGCCCCACACAGATTGACTCTGGGGCAGTGACCGGGTTTCAGTCTGAAAGTCCAACCCCCCAGCAGGTCAGAAACCAGCGTTTGCAGAGAAATGACAACAAACCCTCAGTCTCCACATCACAGGAGGCTTTGCAGCAGGGCTGGGGGAGAAGATGAGAGCAAGAGGCCTGAGGTTCAGCACGGGCAGAGTCATGTATGTGAGAAACGTAAGCAAACAAATCAAAACTGGCAGGAGAAAAATAACCCCAACCCTGTGTGCAGCGATGCCCACGGCTTGTGCGTGAGCTCTCCCGACCAACAGCTCAAATGAGCCCTCCCAGGATAAAACTGCCTGTGGAACGGCTGCATGGGCACCCCCAGGGCCATGGGGCTGTTGCCCATGAGCAGCTCCAGGCCGTCAGACACTCACCCACCAGCAGCATTGTAGTGATTCCGTATTTTGGGCTGAGGGTTTTCCTTCTTACCAGCCTATGTGGCAAAGAGAACCTCCAGCAAAACTCATACTAAGAGCAATCGGTGTCATTGATGGATGCTGGAGGTTGAGATGGGAGCTGGATGCCAGGTTTAATGAGTCTGTGGGGGCAATGAATGCATGGGGCTAAGGCTTGGACCTGCTCCCTTTAGCTTTCTATGATGTGCTTCATACAAATCACAGGACCCAGCTGCTGCCGGCTCACTGCAGAACTGCAAGATGAAGAGGACCATACCTTGCACACCACAGGTCTCCCGTGGAGCTGGTGGCCTCCTGCCTGGCTCTGCCCCCAGCTCGGGTGCCTGGCGCTTGTATATCCTGTGGGGCTGTGCTGCTCCATCCTCCCGAAACCTGCTGGACACTGGTTCGATGAAGTAGTCCTCATCCATGAGCTGGAACACGCCTTTCTGGCAGGGAGAGACAAAAACCCATGAAGCCACCTGCATCTAGCACAGACCCACATGAAGAACCTGAGAATGGGAGAGTGGTTGCAACTGGTATTATGGCTATTTTCAGCTCTAAACTCCCAGACAAAAAGAGAACAAACCAGCATGGAGTAATCAGTAAGGCAAGAAAAAGCTAAAGAGATCCCATCACAAATGGGAACCCAATGGGTGTCTGGCAGCGTAGACCTCAGGGAATGCAGGGACACTGAGAAACGCCTTCTCCAGAGAACCAGAGCACACCAGGAACAGGTACACATAAAGCCTCGGACCGTTCTCCCTCCGCCTCTCCTGACCTTCCTGGAGCCACTCTGGGGAGCCCAAAGCACGGCTTTGTCTGTAGCACAGCACCAGTGTTCTGAGCAAGGGCTGCACCATCAGAGGTGTTTCCCTAAGGAAAACCTCCTCAGATGCCTTTTGGATCACCACTTTTCTGACAGAGAGCCATGGCTATTTCCAGACTGGGTAGAGAAGCTTTAAAGCAACTTCAGGCTGAGTTTTGCTCATTGACTATGGGCTGCAGATCCTCTCACAACCTGGTGCTGATGCCTTTAGTGGGTGAACAAATTTTTCCCCTTCTTAAAAACCAATACTAATCCCCAGCACCTGCACAATACTGTTGTTTTTCCAATAGGGAACCTGCTTGTAAAACATATAAACAAAGTATTTTAAGGAGCCATCTCCAGCCAAGTAAGCTGTTCGCTAGCGTGGACTTCACTGGAGTGGTTTGGGAAGGGGGAAATGAGCTTTAAGGTCCCTTCCAAGCCAAAACATTCTGCAATTCTATGTTTTAAGTCCTGATTTTCCCTTGTTGAGCACTGACACAACAGCCTTATTTGTGCAAATCAGTTCACCTTTCAGCCAAGCTCACACCCTCACGGGTCACTATCACCTTCGCACACATCTGCAGTGGAACAGGGCAGTGGAGGTGTTCGCAAAACATGAAGTGGTTTCCCTGCATGCCCGAGCTGGGTTATCTAAACACGACCGGGCACTCAGCACCTTGCTCTCAATGTGTTCCTCATCATCCTACAACTAGTACTAGAACGCGGAGGCGAAATGAGAACTGCTCTTTGGGAATTCGATCACAAACAAGTGAACACACTCCCGGAGTTCCCAAACCACTGGAATCCATGGGAAATATACAGTCAGCTCATCCACAGCTGCATCAAACCTACGGGATGAGGATCCCAACGCTCTGCCGTCGGGAGGAGCTTTGCTATTGCTTTCAGCGGCAAAAAGGCTTTCCCACAGCTCCTGCTGTGACCTATGGAGGAGGGATCCATACTCACCAGGCCATCGCAGGTGCTGAGCGCGGCCGGACCCCCCTGCAGCGCCCGGCTCCGAACCTCCCCGATCATATGGCAGGAGTTGTAGGTGTGAGACTGGATCTTGGCGCTGGCGATGCCCCCGAATCGCCTCTCGGTGACAAACCCGGGCGCCAGGAGGTTGTTGTTGAGGCTCAGGTTGAATTTCAGGGGTTGTCCTTTGTAATGCAGTTCGTAGAAGGCAAGAAACTTGCTCCTGGAGGAAGGGGACCTTCTGTGGAGGGCTCGGTGGGACAGGTCGTAGGACAGGAATGAGCCGCTCTCGTCCACCTTGATGGGATGAACGATGTCGCTGCTGGGGTACGGAAGCGGAGCGGGCTCTGGGGAGGAAGGGGTTCGGTGG